ACCTATATTTGAGGAGGCAGACATGGCAGGTGGTTGTGTGGCAAGTAACTTTTGAAACTGCTCAACAAGCACAACTAATGTAAGACCTGAAGAATATGCATGTCCAACACCAAGAGAGTCTGTCAGAGTACCAACAACTGCAACATTTGATGTTGGAGTCTTAAAGCTTCGTGGGTGCAACATATTGAGTTGTTGTGCCTGCTGTGATTTGTTCAGCAAATTTGAACATTGAGCTTTCCAATGACCCTTTTGCTTACAAAAGCTACATTCATCAAAACCAACCTTTCCATGAGATTTGCTTTTATTATGAGTAGCTGTAAAAACAAATGAATTTTGAAGAGGATTGCAATGTAAAATTGTTCCAAGAAGCCCTTCAAAATTATCTCGAAGAGCCATAAAAAACTGAACCAAACGTTGTTCTTCTCTACGATCAGTGTATGGTTTAAAAACTCGTAATTCTGCAGATTCAGTAAGAGATAACTGAACTCAAAGATTAGTCATGACAAAATAAAATTTTTGGGTGCTTATGTCGTTTTGTTGAATAGCACAAATATTTATCTTTAATTGATACAGCTTTGCAATATTTGACTGTACATATAATCTTTTTAAATGATTCCAAACTTCTTTGGCGGTTTCATATTTTGTTAATAGGACACCAATTGATTTTGAAACCGAGTTATTGATCCAAATGATTATTTTTGAATTATTTGCTTCCCATACTTCCAACATTTCTTCATATTTTCCATCATTTTCATCTATGGGCTTAACAAAGGTTCCAGAAACATAACCCCACATTCTTTTGCGTTTCAAAAGATTCTTCAATACATAACTCAAATAGGAGTAATTTTGTCTATTTAATTTCACACTAATAGATTGAAGATAATCATCTTTTTCACTAGTCATTGCTACGATACAAAAAAAAAAAAAAACAATAAATCACCCAAAAAACTGCAATTAAATGCAAATGTCGCTAAAAATTGGGTCGTCTTCGTCTTCTCCTTGCCAGATCACGACCACAGTCGATAAAGAGGTCTTCGGTGAATGGGTGGAGAGGCGCAATAGGGACGATAAAAATGATCGCAGGCTTCAGCGTTGTGGGGCTAGATCAGAGATTTTGGCGGTTTCATTGATTTGCGGCAAGGAGAAGCAACAATCGTGAACAGGATCGACAAGAGCAATCGAGTGCTATTCGGATCTAGGGTCGCTGAAATCTCCGAGAAACAATCGAGGATAGAATCGCCAAAATCTTCGTACGACAATGTGATTTTCTACATTCGATCTCAAGTGGGTCGCACGAGAGAGAGAGAGAGGAACAATCAGAAATTCCGAAGGGCTTAGTACCTTACAGTGCCGTCGATACTATTTCTGCTGGAGCAGAACCTAGCTCTGATACCATGTTAACAATTGCAATTGAGATTGAATTACCTCATTACAAGAGTATATATATACAATAAGTAAAAAAGACCAAACTACCGTTAAGTTGAGTAAAATAATAGAAATACAAAACTATAATATCTAACAGTACGTATTTACAAATAACTAAAGAAATAAATAAATATTGAAAGATACAATTGGCTTGCTCTTAACGGGTACTCAAAGTTTTTATTTTAGATAAATATCTAAAATTTAAGAAGAATTAATAAATTGATGTATATTTTTTATTTTTTAAAAAATAAAATTAAATTATCTGCTATCTCTAATTACAACTAATGAAAGTATTTAAGCTTTGTTTAACAATTTTTTAAAAATAAATTGTGATGTAAATGTACTTGACATATGGTCCCCAAAGAATCATGGCGTTACTGAAAAGTTAATTTGATGCAAATTTTACACTGCAGCTATAAATGGAGTAGTGATATGTAACATCTAAAAATTTTTTTGATTAACTTGGAAAAGTGATGGCCTTTCTAATAAAGCCAGATTGGCCGACAATGCTTTATAAATGTAGTTATTGTAAAAAAAAAAAGGCATTTGTGGCAATTTAAAAATCAGAATAAATATGCTTTAACTAAAAAAATATATATTTTAGAAAAGGTTAACTATGCACATATTATAAAAAATATTTTTAATATATATATATATATATATATCTGTGTGTGTGGCTGGATATTCGCCAAGGTGGAGATTTGTTATGGTATGACTCATATACCATAAATGGACAGATACTGGAGCGGAGCGGAAGATTCTGTCCAAATCAGGGGAGTTTTCTTTTGTGGGTTGGGGGTTCGGTATTACATATTGTACCCAAGATTTCCTTTGCTGTTCTGTCTAGGGTTATTATAAATAGGTCTTGTTGTAACCCTAGATGTGATGCTAATTCTGTATTATGTATTCTTTTTTTTAGATTAGTGGAAAAGGCCGCCGTTCAGCTCCCGAGGACGCATGTATCTTTGCCGAACCTCGTTAAATCTCTTTGTGTTCATATGAATTTATGTCAATTGTGTGTTTCTTCGCCCTAATTTCTCAACAATATATATGTATGTATGTATGTATTCTAAATCCTTTTATTTACACTTATATCACCTACAATGCTAATACTAATCACAACCAATGAACAACATAAACCAATACTCAATGAGCAGCTTCATTCATGCAAATGGATCGACTAAAATGTAAATATATAGAAAGGTCAAAGTATTAGACATAAAAATAGCATAACCTTTTAGTGATACATGTGCAAATGATAATTTTTTTTGTTTTTGTTTTCAGACATTATAAATGGATGACAAATACTATAGCTGTAAATAGGATAAAGTTAAAAACTGACTAGACTACCAATGGTAACTATATTCTCTCTTTTTCATTCTTTTATATATAATATTCTATTTATTATTATTAATTTTAATTGATTATAAATCTTTGTAGCATTACACTCGATTAAATTATTTAAATATAATACTCATTATATATATATATATATAGATAGATATATATTGTTAGGAAATATATTATTCCTATAACAAAGAATAAATTATTTTCTTAATATAAGGAGATTAATATGAGCTAATTATTAGAGATATCATGCGATATATCTTTATTTTTTATTATTTTTTCTATTACAAGATTCTTGTAAGATTTATTTATACTCTCATTTATATCAATGAAATTATTATGAATTTTGATCAATATATATAATCATGAAAAATGATAAAATGTTGAATAGTTAAAGGTGAAAATATATGATAGAGTTTGTCCTTGACAACAAGAGTACTTCAAAAGTCAGGCTGTTGCTCTGATTTTAATGCATGCAGCCAAAGGAGAGAAAAATATATATAAATAAATTAAAAAAATAAAGGTTGGAGAGATCAGTATGGTAGTGCATAAGATTCATGCGTTTGTCTGCTTATTTTTACTTTTTCCTGGCGCTTTTCATTAGGCCCATAGAAGAAGGTAAAGATGAAGGATCAAAGAGGACGAAAAAAAACAAAAGAAAAGAAAAGAAGAGGTTTGCTTTCCCTTTCTCAAGTGTGTTCTCTGTGCTATTATGTGGTACCCAAAACCCCTCCTTTTTTATCACCTCCATTCTTCCATGAGCTAACCTTCTCCATCCTTGGATAACCCCTGAAGACCTGTGATTTCTTCCTTTCTAAAGATTTTAGATTATTATTATTTTTTTTTTGGTTCTCCAGGTTCAAGCCTATCCTTCTTTTCAGTTTGACATCTCAAAATTTTGTTCTTTTTATAACCAATCTTTCTGTTTTCCTAGCCTTTTTGTGAGCGAGTAAATGAATCGATTAAACTATCTGAATGAATCTGTTTTTATTTTTAATTTCGTGAAAAAGCTGCGATCTTTCTGATATCGCCAAGCTCTGGCTTTTATTTTAGTTTACTTTCATTTTTTTTTATAAGGAAAGAAGGAAATGCTGAGAAAGAGGGGCAGAACGGCGCCGGAGGAAGGCAGGGTAGAGCTTTTGGGAGATTTAAGTTCAAGTTGTTGTTTCGCTGCGGATACTTCGATAAAGCAGAAGCAACGGAGCTCTTCCTTCTTCAGTATCCCCGGTCTCTTGGTGAGCTTCACAGGCAAAAGCTTAGCTGAATCTGATTCAATGAAAAGCCCTACTTCTCCTTTGGATTACAAGCTCTTCTCCAACCTTGCAAGTTCTTTGATTCGATCTCCAAAATCACCTGGAAGAAGCTGGGATTGCAGTAGAGTTGGCCTCGGTTTGGTGGATTCTCTGAAGGACGAGAACAAGAACATTCTCCTTGGATCCCAGATGAGGATAATCAAAACTGGAAACTCTAAAGATCGTTTCAATTCCTTTGGGGAAGAACAGACAGAGACAAAAAATTCCACCTTCTCGCAATTATGTTCATCAAAATCGAAACTTGAGGAGATCGGAAAGGTTAATTCGTGCTCATCTGATCCTATGCACAAAACCCTAAAACCCGATTTTGATGTTTCATCCTTGGAATTAATTCATAGCTTCATGGATTCTCTTGCTGACTGTGAGGATTACACTTGCATCATATCCCATGGCCCGAATCCAAAGACCACTCACATTTTTGGTGATTGCATCCTGGAGAGCTCCATGATTGAGTCTCAGAATTCTAAAGAAAATGAAGGAGGATTTGAATGTATCGTCAAGGGCTTGTCTTCTTTGCCCCTCACTTATTTTCTGAGCTTCTGCTGCTACTGCAATAAGAAATTAGAAGAAAACAGAGACATTTACATGTACAGGTAAGCTTTGTCAAAATGATATCAGCTTTAATCCCCTAAAATCTTCAAGCTCTGATTTTGTGCATAAATCTGTGGTTTTCAGAGGTGAGAAGGCATTCTGCAGCTGCAACTGCCGTGATCAAGCAATACTGATCGATGAGGAATCAAAGCCGGACAAACATGCTTCTGATTCTCCAAGCTCTGCAGTCTTCCATCAAGAGCTTTTCATGGAAGGACTGGAAGTTACAAGCTGAGTAAAGATTAGAGACCTGCCTCGCCATCAATACTGTTACTGATTAGTGAATTGAAATGGCAGACAGCTTGATCATTTGTCCAAGAGGAGTTGTCATATGTGAATTCCCTGCAACCATGGACGATTGATTTCCTCGTGAAGTAGTTTGATTTGCCAAGATGGTTATGATCAGATTTGTAGGTGATGGTGGGTACTGTATTTCATTTTGAGTTTTTTTATTATTTTATATTAAGAGTCTTCTTCTATGGATAAAACTTACATTTTTCTCTTATAATTTTGATCAAGAGAGAGAGGGAGAGAGCATGTGTCTGAGAGAGAGAGAGAGAGCCACCGAGTGGCTGGCCCATTTTTCCATCTTACTCATTGTGGACTTGTCAAAGTTTATTAATTAAAGTGAGAAATTCGAATAATCTCTTCAGTCAATTTGCTTCCCTGCGGTCTGCATGAAGTTTTCAGCACTGAAAACTTTTTGAATTTGACCGGCTTGAAAACCTATCTAATGAGGCCATGCAATCTTATCTTCAGAAATTTTTTTATTTTTTCTCTATAGCTCTCTAATGTAAAACTGAGTCTTTAGGTTTGTTTGGAAAAATGATGTTTTTTTGCTGCTTTATTTGACCTCTCATTTATCTTTAGAATATATTGCATTTTTCAACCAGTTGGCATCTGAATATGGTTTGGAAGAGTGTCATATATGGCAAGCCAGTTCTCTTCATTCATTTGCCTGCATTCAGAGAATTATATTTTAGTTTTTATTTTATTCTCTTAATTTCTCATACTGGCTTGTAAAAAGACTATGAATGATCCAATCTCAGGTCTGTCAGGTTTGGAGTTGTAATTCATCCAATCACTTTTGATGAGATTTGGATTTGATTTTTGAGATTTGTGGCTGTCGAACTCAAGTTCCATAAAGATGATTATTACCATTTTCAAGCCACATTTGCACTTCTTTCTTAAGTCTATCATCTTATGATGCAACTTACAAAAGAGATGAGAAATCAATGATTTCATGCATATTATAATTAGAAGCAACCAGAAGAGATGAAACTGAAGAAGAATAGAGAGGAGAGATGTATCAGCTGAGAAATAAAGAAGAAATATTTTTGAATGCTTGCAAGGGGAGCTTTTCTGTCAGTTCAACAAGGATATGCATCTGAAATTTCAATTGTAGCTAAAAAAATAAAAAACCTGTTGGTTTTAGTGGAAAGTAGTTGACATTTGGACTACTGTGATAGAGAAGAGAAGAGAGTAATGAACTCAATGACAATATCTTATTTATTGCCTCTGGCCATCATGTTCAATTTAAGTGAGTATTATTTCCGGCCAGATAAAGTTGTGTCTTTGTCTTTATCTCTAACTTTATATGGAGTGAAATGCTACGTATACATTTTTTTAAAGATTACTAGATTATTTGATCTTTATGTGGTTATAGATGCAGACTTACTACAATCTAGCCATATAAATTATTTTAATTATTTGGTTGTTTTTAGAGTTCTTTTGCAATTTTTTTTGTGATTTATTATATTTGTTCCTATCTTGGAGCTATCTCTTCTCTAATAGAGTTGACATAGGATTACCTCAAAGTTATTTATTTCAATAAAAAACCGAGCTAGATTTAGCAATAGGCTAACTGATCCAATCTCAATTCGAGTTGTATAAAGCTTATTAATTTTGATTCAAGAAAAGGTTGGTTGAATTTCAATTTATTTTGAATTTTCTAAGAGAAACTAAACCTAGTCTAACATATATGCTCACCTATAGGCACATTTAGATGTTTAGATTTGGTTGAATGTCAACCTTAATCAAGTATAAATACACATAATTAGATGTATGAAAGTTTCATATATGTCTTCATGCTACTTTGAACCCAAATCTGACTTAATTCATGTTTGATTCGAGCCAAAGTTTTCATTGGTTATCTCATCAACATCGATCTTACCTTCATTTGAGTAATTTACTAGAATAATTTTTTCATGATTATTAAGCTTAGGTCAAATTAACAAGCACACATTGTGTGTCGTTGATCTTTCGAGCTCGGCAACTGTTGTTTGATGAAATACATGTTAATCAAACTTATAACGTGCAAGTAAATCTAATTTGTTGGCAAACAAAAATTATGTTTGTAGATCATAACACTGAATGCAGTTGATAGCACTTCATGAAATGTATGATAAAATTAATAACATGTATTTAATTTTGATGATTTTTTGTATGAGGGTATTTTGAGGAAACAATATGTTGGTTAGACTTCATTATCATTGGGGACTTCTTTTGGTTAAAATTCATCATCATTGGGGGAATCTTTTACATTTTCACATAAAGTTTAATGCATCCTACTTGATTATAGGCCAGTAAAACTCTCGCCTTATCATCTTAGGGTGAGAGCTCTACCTCACAAACGTTCCCCCACATATCCCGGAGTGAACCTTGTGATTTTTTCCACAACAATCTCCTTACAAATCATAAACTATAAAAATCTTGCATCCACTATGACATGATATAAAAATATAATTCATCACAGTCACAACAAGGATGCACAAAAAAAAAAAAGAAAAATGCTCTGGGAGGTAAATAGTCAGAAACAAAAGATTACTAAATAATATCGACTTAGCTCATACAACATAACATAGGCAAACATGCATGAAAAAGTAAAAGCTGAAAAGAAATGACTACATCAATCGGACTCATATAACATGACCAATAAATAGAAAAAGAAAAATAGTGCTATGTGACATCAATGTTCTCCCCCACCTCATCATCATTACAGAGTACATTCTTCATCTTGCTCTTGTTATCATTACCCTTGGAATCTGAACGAGGCATTTTTGAACCCTGGCTAGGGATAAGTCCCTCTATTAAAACCCCAATCTAACGTTGTACTGCTAAACTTCCCTTTAGAAAGCCTTGAACGAATCCTTCCTCGACCAACCATTTCTGCTACTCCTTTGCCCCAACATCAAGCACCTGGCATGAACCTCCTGAACTTAATACCGAAGGATAGTTTTAAACTCAATCAAATTTTGGAAGCTCTCCACAACTCCAAACTTAGTTTCAATAATGTTTGTTTCCTTCTGAGATCTCTGCTTCTAGATCTCCTCCTCGAGGGCTGATACCTTTGACTGAAAAGCCTTCACATTCTTGTTACTTTGACTGTGATAGACTCGTGCTTTTACCAACTCCTCTCGAGTACTATCCAGATTTTGATGTTATTGTAAGAGAATTCGCAATCATAAATAACTCTATCTTGCACTCTGTTAGCTGAGATTACAAGGTTACAACTCCCTTAACTTTAGAATCAAATGAACACTTGTATTCGCATAAAAGGAACTTGATTTGACAAACTTGAAGTTCCAACCTTTCAAACAAAAGCCAAGCCCCATCGAAGCTCCATCATTTTGTCCATCTGAAAACAATTGCATAGTTCTATATTAGACAAATGAAAAAAATATACAACAATGGAAGATGAAAAGAAAAGCGATAAAACACACAAAGTTCTCGCCCTCCTAAAACATGGTGAATGAATGTGCCAACATGTTCTCTAGGATGTTAACCTTCGAAGAACTGAGCAAAGGCCTCGCTTCTTGACTCCTCTTGTACTGCTTCTGAGGTAGTGTCTCACAATTGCTGCTTAGTGGAGGCCACTTCGGGAGTGTCACAGGGGTTGGCTCGGGATTCCTGTTTTTGGATTTCTTCAACATCACTGCAGAAGATAACTCGGGATGTAAATAGAATTTGACCTCAAATAGAAATTCTTTGCTTAAAAATTCATAGACATAATACATGTCGAGTTACAATTCCTTGATGTCCCGAAATCCAAGCTCGATCAGTAAGAGCAAGAATTTTCACCACAATATCATTCAGAAAATAATTCTTCTTTTGAAATAGTATCAAATTTGGTCGACTTTGTCTCATTGGGATACTAATTATTTCTTTGATTTTCAAGGTGGAGGGTTTGTCAGATCTTAGCACCTCATGATGCGGAAAAACCCCATTCGGAATGCGCGACGGGGAAGTTTCAAACTTGTCCTCCATGAAGAATCCCCTCCGGAATGTATGGTGGAGAAACTTAAAACTTTTTTTATTATCTTCTAGCCTCTCTTTGGGCACCAAAAGACCTGAAATTCTCCTCCAGAATGAACTGTGAGGAAAGTTAACCATTCCTCTTTAGGCTTTGACAGCGACTTTTTATATACATAAAAATACAAGAATTTGACACCACTACTAGAAGATTTAAACCTTCGGCAATGACGCCAAAAACTTTATGCAACTTTTAATATGCAAGAATTTATGAACCCATATTTATATATTTATAATGATTTTATAAAGTCACAATTTCAAACTCAAGTATACATATTACTCAAGTAATATAGGGCTCTAGTGGAGTCCGTTTACCGATCCCACAGGGAAGCCAGATAAGAGGTCCTTAGTCAAATTCTAATCTACTACTATTAGTCCTTAGTTTGGAAGTGCGATTTAAGAGGTTTTACTAACAGATACTCCTAAATGTAAGTCTTAAGTTTAACACAACTAATAACTACTCCTAAATGCAAATATTACTTCTAAAGATAACCCTTTTTGGATGAATTGGTTTGGAGAATTTTGAGATATTAAAAACTACTATTCTTATGTAATGAATTAGATAATGTAAAGGAATGAGATGCATTAAATATTGTATGTGCCAAATAGGAGCAATCATATTTTTTACCCTTTGGTCCAGACATAAAGAACATTGACTAATCCTATGCTTGTTTACTGAATCCGTGGCTAAGCTGGGAGGATACCGGCTCTCACTTCGGAGCTCCTACGTTC